TGCCATTGGAAATTTCAACATTGACGGGCTATTTGATGGTAAGGAAATACTGTTCACTTTTTGGTGGAATGCCTGCTTGGCTTGGCTTCATTAATAAGCCCAGTCCCTGGCTGTGGGGACTGAGTCAGCTCCTCAGCCCTGGCCAGGAGTCAGGAAGGGACTATTGGTGTTGGCTGGGGGTGGGGTGGGTTGGACGGAGACAATAAGCGTCCACCTCTATGTGCCAGGTTCCATGCTAGGGACACACAAATGGACAGGGCACGGTCTCTTCTGGTCAGGAAGCTTCTCATCCACAAGACCAATGATTTGCATTTCCATTAATTCCCTTTTTCCCTTAAACTACACAGGTTTGACATCAACAATAACCCCTCTGAAATATGAAGCACATTTTGAAAATAGCCCACACCTCTCATCCCCAGTTTTACACACATGCCAACTTGATCCCACAGGTGGTAGATGGAGACCTGGCACGGCAGGAGCTGACCCCAAACGAGCCCTCCCCTTCCCATGTGTTTTTGCTAGAAACAGCTCAAAAGAGATGGTCGCCTTCTGCTTTCTGAAGGCCGGTAGCGCAGGTGTGGTTATTTCAGGGACAAATGCCCTGGAGGTGCTCATAGTGCTGGCACAGCTTTTATGGAGGTGCTGACATAAGAATAATCACACCTTACACTTTGTGAGCGATTACTCTGGGCCGGGTGCTGTTCTCAATGCTTTACACGTAGAGCTCATTTGACCCTTGCAGCAACTCCATGGTGCTGGTGCTATAACGTCCCCATTTTACAGATAAGGAGACTTATGAACTGCGTGGTAAATAATATTTGGTTAAAAGACCCCTCCCCTCCCCCCTTCTTCATCCTGTTCCTCTTGTTCAACTCCCTTGGGGGTCCCACTGGTCAAGCACAAAGGAGGAAGACTCATGAAAAATATTAATAAACTCACATGTTGTACACACTGCTATATTAAAAATGGATAACCAACAAGGACCTACTGTATAGCACAGGGAACTCTGCTGAATATTATGTAACAATGTAAATGGGAAAAGAATTGGAAAAAGAATAGATAAATGTATATGCATAACTGAATCACTTTGCTGTACACCTGAAACTATCACAACATTGTTGGTCAACTATACTCCAATATAAAAGAAAAAGTTAAAAAAAAAGACCTGTATCACTCAGATACAAATATAAAGTGTTAAAAAAAATAATAAAAATAAACTCGTGTTGCCTTCTGACAAATATTGGGGCAGCTATTAGCATGACCTGGGATCTTACGCCAGTCACTCTGGTGTGAGCCAGTAGCAAACCCAGGATCAGGGTTGGCTTTCTGTCTTCTCAGACTCCCTTTCTCACATGGGGTGTTTAGTGGGCTTGCAGAAATGCCTGGTGGGTTTGGAATCATACAGTGCTTGGGTCCTATTCCAGGCCCTGCGCTTACTGTGTAATTTTTGGATAAGTGAGTCAACCTCATACTTGTTACTGGAGACTTTTTCCTTTTTCCTCTGTAAAATGGAATAATAATAGTACCTACGTACCAATAGTACCAAAGGGGTTATTGAGAGGATTAAAGCAGATGGTACCCTAAAATGTTTAGCCTGTTTCATTTGGCAGTGGTAGCTTTTGATAGAGGTAGAACAGTGATATTTTCTCTCTGAGGCAGAAACTGCTGAAGCTGGGCTTGGCAAACACGACAGAAAACGGTCACCAAGAAGTAAGCTCACTAGAGGGACCCTGGAGGAGCAGGCCGTGACCGAAGAGTCCCTTAGTCAGCAGCAGTGATGCAGAGTCTGCACCAGCCTGCATCTCCAGCACCAGCCCATGTCTGGCACATAACCTTGGAGCTGGGGTCCTCAGCTTTCAGGGTGAGTGGGTGTTTACTGTGTAACGCAGTTATTGAAATCCTTGCCCCTAGAGCAGGTCTCCCTGGGTTCAAATCTTGGGGAAGCTCTACCACTTATCCGCTGTCAGGCTTTAAGTGCCCTACTTTACCTCTCTGTGCCTCAGTTTCCTCATCAGTAAAAGGGGATAATAATAGTACCTCTATCCTAGGGGTCAATGCGAGGATTAATCAATTAGATGCCAGAACCTGACATCTAATAAGTGCTGGTTGTTATTACCAAGCTCCAGCCAGGGCCTGGAGCAGAGCATCCAGTGAGACACAAGGTCAGTCTTCCTGGGCATTTACAACAGTGGAAGGGGAGATTTAAAAAAAAATCAGCTTTTGTTACAACTGAGGTACATGCTTTCCAAAAAAGTACAGTGTTTCAATTTGGACAGGGGGTTCCTAATAAATTTGTCTCTTGCTATGTGGGAGGAGAGGTCCAGGGAATTGTAGGGAAACGTACGTGGCTTCTCAGGTATTACTAGTAAAAATAGACTTTTCTAGAAGGACACACTCCCGCAGGAGCTCCCAGAAAAGACGGGAGGGAAGGTTGGGGAGCTGGGCTCAAAACCCTGGAAACAGTGCAGCTGGGCAGGAAGCGCTCATGCCTCCGGGTACCCTCCCTCAGCAGGAATCAGTGTCAATCAGTTTTATTCTTGCTGAAGATTCTAATTCCAGGGCCAGGGTATCAGACTGTCCTGAAGTACATTCTGGGAGGCGCAGGCATCCTGCTGGACATTTCCTGACACTGAACCTATGAGGAGGGCTGTTCTCTTAATGGATATCAGGCAGGTCCAGCAACACCATCCCCGGAAGTGACATTCAGGTAGGGCAAGAGAGCTTAGCTTTTTTGTACCATAGACATCTTCTAAGAATAATGTTTTTTAAATGCATAAAACACATAGGATTACAAAGGAAAACAAAGATAATGAAATATTAGAAAAAACAAATAGATGATATAGTATGTAATTTTTTGGTTAACTCATGAAAAAGGAGATCAGGGCAGTGGCCTACCACACTGTTATTCTGAAGTACAGATGAGTGTATATTAGCCATAAAAAGGAATGAAATTGGGTCATTTGTAGAGACATGGAGGAACCTAGAGACTGTCATACAAAGTGAAGTAAGTCAGAGAGAGAAAAACAAATACTGTATATTAATGCATATATGTGGAATCTAGAAAAATGGTACAGATGAACCTGTCTGCAAGGCAGAAATAGAGACACAGATGTAGAGAACAAATGTATGGACACCAAGGGGGGAAATGGTGGGGTGGGATGAATTGGGAGATTGGGATTGACATATATACACTAACATGTATAAAATAGGTAACTAATGAGAACCTGCTGTATAGCACAGGGAACTCTACTTAGTGCTTTGTAGTGACCTAAATGGGAAGGAAATCCAAAAAAGAAGGGATACTTATCACTGTACAGTAGAAACTAACACGACATTGTAAAACAACTATACCCCAATTTAAAATAAAGAAGAAATGAAGTACAGATGAGTGTAAACAATATTTTGGAAAATCTGCGCAACTGTAATGTGTCATGGACATATCTGTGATTGCTACTGGGGACAAAGCCCCAGGTGCTGCTGATACTACGGTGGCTGGTAGCCTAACCTCATAATTGAAGGAAATGCTAAATTGCAGTAGGAGATTAGAAGAAATAATGAAAATGTTTTCCCCATTTAGGGAGTCCCTGATTTAAACCGAGAACCTCTTCTCTCGGCATTTTGTTAAATATCAGTTGTACAAGGTTATGTGAAAAAGCCCAGATTTTAAGACACTGAATTTTCATTTGCTTGTATTTTTTGCCAAAAGAAAGAAAAAAAAATACATTTGTGTGTATATTAAATACATCTAGAACAATGTATAAAGAATATTTCATACTTAAAGAAAAGGGAAATGTATGGAAGGATCTAGGTTCAACGCCAGTGCAACCTTCACAAGCCTTGGTCTGGGGCTTCTCTCCACCTCTCTGGGCGGGATCAGTCCGCAGGACAGGCGGAGGAGTGTGTTTCCCTGGATATCCCCAAGCCACACCCCTGAAAAATACCGAAGTCGGTTTTTCAAGTCAGTTCACGGTGTCCTGGCACACGCACGGCCTGGGAGGTGGGCGCCCACTTTTTGTGAGGCCTGAGTTTTGTCCCTAGTCAGCTGTGTCAGGTCTGTTTCAAATCTCTCTGAGCCTTGCTTTCCTGGGTCTCCAGCATCCAACTCCCAGGCTCTCGTTATCCACGTGGGCCTTATTCTGCGGCGCTTTGCAGTTTATCAGAGGCACCTGGAGCAACAGGGGGTGGATGCAGAGATAGGAGCCCGCAAAGACTGGAAGGCAACCTCTGGTAGCTCCTCAGGCGCGGGGGAGCCGGACGCGCCGGGGCGAGGGCTTAATCTACCGGGTGGCGGATTCGGGTTCAACGAAAGGCAGTATTTTTACCCATCAGAATTGCCCAGGATGAAGAGAGGGAGGGTGTTCCCCTCAAACGTGAATCTTTGTTATTCCCACTTATCAGTTGATTTAAAATCGGGGTTTCCGCGTAGGATGCCCCCCCCCCACTCTACCAGCGTGGGGGTATGAGCCCGAAAGGTACATTTTAGAAAAATACCACTACTCCCGCCCCCAGGGCAAGTAAGGGAGCAATTTCAGTGGGACATACTGGGTGTGGAGTGTGGGGGTAGTTATTTCGGCAGATCTTGGCGTTCCTAGACTTCCACGTGAGGTGGTAATCGGCGACAGCGTTTCGTACAGCTCCGGTATTTAATTCCCAAGAAGGAACAAGGCAAAAAGTATAAACAGCCCCTTACGACCGCGGCAGGACTCGAACCTGCAATCTTCTGATCCGAAGTCAGACGCCTTATCCATTAGGCCACGCGGCCGCTCGATGGTTCACCCTCTTTAGACAATCTAAAAAGTATTATTACCGCCCACCGGCTTGCCCAGGACGAATCCATCTGCTTCTTGAGCAGGGGAGGTTGGACCTTGGTTCCCAGAGTTCTTCAGGGAAGGCCCACCCGGAAGTCCTTCCTCCCCACCCCGCGGGCGGACCGGTCCACTTTTGGCTCTCCTATTGGTCGCGCTGGGAGTCTCCCTCTTGCCTCTCGGGTAGCGGCGGGAGTGAGCGGGGCGCAGACGGGAAGTTGCGGCTGCCAGCTAGGCGGACTGCTTCGGTGCAGGCCACACGCCACTCCGAGGCTGCATAGGCCGCGCGGAGGGAGACGCCGCGTCGCCGGCCTGGGGTCGGGAGCCGCAGACCACGAAGCACCGGGCGGACTGAGGTTTCCGGCGGGTTCGCAGTTGAGGGGAGGCCGGGTCCCTGAGCGGCGGCGCGGCCCCTCCCTCTCCAGTCAGGGAGCGAGGCCCTGAGCTGGGCGGAGGCTGGTCCCAGGGCGCACCGCGGCGCGGCCGCCGGGCTCAGGCTAGCGGGCGGGCGGGCGGGCGGCCGGGAGCGCGGGGGCCGCTGCCGACGCCCCCTGCAGGGCGCCCTCGGCCTGCTGGGCCCGGGCTCAGGCGTGGGTCGGGGCCCCGCGGGACGGCGGCCCACCTGGCGGGTTCGAATCCGGGCGCTGTCTCCTAAAGGCGCTAGGCCCTCGGGCTGCGGCGGTTGTGATAAAGGCAGCCACCATTTGCCGAGGACTTGCCGAGGGCCGGGCCGCGCGGCGTGTTCGCCCTGTGTCACCCAAACAGCAGCCCTGTATGACAGGTAGAATCCGTAACCCCATTTTACAGAGTAGGAAATTGGGGCCTAAGGAGCTTGCCCAAGGTCACACGTCTCGTAAGAGCCAGAGCCGGCATTCAAACCCGCGTCCTCCTATTCAGAGTTTGCCCTCTTAACCACGTCTCTCACCTTCCCTGATGAACTTACGTGAACCTCAGTTTTCCTCAGGAGGGGTGTTGCTATTTCCCAAGGTTGTGTGATGATTCACTGAGAAAATGTACCTAAAGGCGCCTGGCACACTGCCTGGGCCGCAGAAGATGCTTAAGGAATGATGGCTGTTAATATCACACATGTTACGTGTGTCGTTAGTAACACTGCATATCATCTGTCTCCTTTAGGATTTGTGGGTGGAAGGCAGGCATGGTCAGAACCATTTCACTGACAGGAAAACAGAGACAGGACGTGTCTCTCTCCACGTCTCTCAGCCAGTAGAAGCTGCCAAGCTGGAGCCCAAAGCCAGGTGTGCTGACTCCCAGCGGGGGGCTCCCTGCACCAACCATGAGCCGCCTGCTCTGGAGGAAGGTGGCCGGCGCCACCGTCGGGCCAGGGCCGGTTCCAGCTCCGGGGCGTTGGGTCTCCAGCTCCGCCTCCGGCCCCGTCCCCAGCGACGGGCAGCCGCAGCCGCCGCCGCGGCCAGTGCCGTCCTCGGAGGGCGGGCAGCTGCGGCACAACCCATTGCACATCCAGATGCTCTCGAGAGGGCTTCACGAGCAAATCTTCGGGCACGGCGGGGAGATGCCCGGCGAGGCCGCGGTGCGCCGCAGCGTCGAGCACCTGCAGAAGCACGGGCTCTGGGGGCAGCCGGCCGCGCCCTTGCCCGACGTGGAGCTGCGCCTGCCGCCCCTCTACGGGGGCAGCCTGGACCAGCACTTCCGCCTCCTGGCCCAGAAGCAGAGCCTGCCCTACCTGGAGGCGGCCAACTTGTTATTGCAGGCCCAGCTGGCCCCCCGGCCCCCGAGCTGGGCCTGGGCGGAGGGCTGGACCCGGTACGGCCCCGCGGGGGAGGCCGAACCCGTGGCCATCCCCGAGGAGCGGGCCCTGGTGTTCGACGTGGAGGTCTGCTTGGCAGAGGGAACTTGCCCCACATTGGCGGTGGCCATATCCCCCTCGGCCTGGTGAGTACGGACAGGGGTCAGGGGACTTGAGCACATGTGGGGGGCCCAGCTTAATGGTTTGGTGAGCTCCCACTATGTGTTTGGTGGGTGGATTTCCAGGGACTGTGGACTCAGTGGTGAACTAAAACAAGCCTTGACCCCAGCATTTACAGACCTTACTTTCTGGTAGGAAGGTATGGGTAGTAAACAACACCCAAGCAAATGTCACGTGGTAATACGGGCTGTGCAGAGAATCACGTGTGTTGAACTTGAGACTGACTGGGAGACCACTTGAGATCACCTTGATTTGGTGCCTTCCCACTTGCCCTAGTAGCTTCCTGAGAAGTTAGTCCAAGACATTTGAACAGTGTTTCCATTTGGGGATGTTATTGGTAATTTTGGGCAGGAGAAACCTACCTTTTGCGGGAATGGCCCAGGCAGTATAGGACACTCAGCATCCCCAGCTGCTCCCTTAAATGCCAGACCAAATCCTCGCAGCCCCGACCCATTTCAGTGTTTCCAAATACCCACTCCCCTCGGGAAACCGCCCCCCCCACCCGTGACCACCCCCAGCTGAGAAACTGCTTCCTTCCCCGAGCCTTCCAAGCAGGCTTGCAGGCATTTTTGTCCCCAAAAGGTATATTCAATCTCTCTTTTCTTTTTAAATAACTTTCTAAGTGCTACCCAAGTTTCTTTTTCAAACAATGATGGCAGTACTTTTCTCCCCTTTTTTATTCTTCATTCCAGGATTAAAATACTATTTACAACCTTAATGCTTTCAGGCATGGCCAGCAAAAAAGTTGGCAGTTTCTTTATTCCTATTGGAAGCTACATCTTTGTAAAGAAAGCTGCGAAATGTTAAATATGCAGTTGAAAATGGTGAAAGCATGGCTAAATAGATAAGGTAGGCATTAACGGCTGAAAAGAGCAAAACTAGATGATTCCTCATTGATGTAGTTCCAGTTAAGATGAGAATCTCAGTGCTTACTGTGTAACTTGATGGTCAAAATAGAGGGAATGCTGTCCATCATTTGAGAAAGTAAAGTAGACTGTGGTGGCTGAAAGGAAATTAGGAAACCAGTGATAAGAAGGACTTGTTTTTTGATCTTTTGGTCATTCTTGGCCAATTTCCCTGAAGTCCCCCTTTTCTTTTCCTCCTTCTTCCTCTCCTAATTTTTCATCTCTTTCTCTCCTTGTCCTTCCCATCCTCCTCTCATTCTCATTCCATTCTTGCTGGTGGTACTGGGGGCACTGTGCAGTTTGCCTGGCGGCAGAAGTCATTGCTGAGGACTGGGCTCATGCTGGGGCCTTCCTTCTGGGAGCCTGACTATGGCGGGGGGTGGGAGGTGCCAGATGGGACCCTGACAGCAGTCCACTTTTAACCTGGGCACATCCCTGCCGCGTGGCTGCGTAACATCAGGTTCCTGAGCAGCCCGCAGTTTCCAGTGGGAGGGAAAAGCCTTGGATGGCCCAGAGGGCAGCTTCCCGAAGGCTGCTGGTAAGGGATTTGGTCATCAGACCAGAGGGACATTACACAGGCTGTCAACACCGATCTAAGATTCACAGGAAAAGTGTAGTGTTAACGGCATTGGTCCTGACTCATCTTAAATTTGCCAGAGGTGTTTGCATTTTGGCGTTCTTCTTTTTTTATCACAAATAAATTTAACAAGATGGTTCTCATGTACAGCTGCAGACCCGGATCTTGACAACAGTCTGGCTTTTTATTGCAACTAAAGTCCCAGTCATCACCACAGCCTCAAATATTTGACATCCTTCAGCCTTTTCTTCTGTGTTGTGTTTGTTTGAGGGCTTTGACATGTTGAATCGAAAGGGGAGGAGGTTTCAACTTGAGTCCCTGAGCGTTTTCCCATCATTTGGAGTGTGAGTTAGATTTTACCAGGTTTAACACTAGGAACCTCTTTTTGCTGGTAACCCCTTCCCCCAAAGAAACTAGTTTTATGTTTGTTGTATCTGTTGCGGCAGATAACCCCTCCTCCCCGCCATAAGGGAAACGGGCAGCTTGTTTGCAGCTGTGGTGGCCACACATGTGGCCTCGTCACTCACTTTGATGCTGAGTGGCCTTGACCCTTTGGTGTAATCTGTGGTTCACAAAAGGCTTTTGCTCAGCAGCCATTTCCCCGCACTTAGTCTTGTGGATCTTGAGCAAACTCCAGCCTTTTCCTGAATCAGTGTCCGGCCCCCAACAGGCAGCACTCATCCCCTGCCCCTCCCACCCCAACCCTAGCACATATTTCCTAGCACATGTGCATACATTTCCTCCATTCTGGCACTTTCCCTGGTCTCTCACTGAGGGTGGTTGTTCAGAGACAGAGCACCTTCTACAAGGTGCGTGATTTGCTCTTTGTCCTTCAGAATCTTTCCAGCCGTCAGATGATTCATCCTGTACACGTGTGCAGCATTTGTCTTTTTTTTTTTTTTTTTGCCACTTTGAATTAAAAAAAAATTCCGCTTTGGGTTTTATTATAATTGTCTCTCTTCTTTACTAGCACTTTGAACATTAGCCATTTTGTGCTTATCAACGTGAGGGATAGATAACGGTCATTAAGACACCTCAGAGCCAAGCGCAGACTTGGTGAGCCCTGGGCGTAACAAACACCTTGATGGCCCGGGCTGAATGCCCATCTGGGACCCCCGGGACTGTGGCACTTAGCTCCCTTTCTCTCTGTGGAGGTTGAAAAGTAAAGAGGCTTTTGTAACTCCTCCGCACTCCCAACACATACCTGGGCAGCACCCCGCCCGACCTCTAGCTCTAGGAGCACCCCGTGGTCTCCCTTGTACCCCCAGCTGCTAGCGTAGGGCCTGGCATGTGGTGGTAGGTGTGCAGTGGGGATTGTGGGATAGAACTTGAATGCCTTCGTGCTGAACCTGCCTGCCTCTCACCTCCCTCAGGTATTCCTGGTGCAGCCGGCGGCTGGTGGAAGAGCGTTACTCTTGGACCAGCCAGCTGTCGCCGGCTGACCTCATTCCCCTGGAGGTCCCTGCCAGTGCCGGCGGCCCCACCCAGCGAGACTGGCAGGAGCAGTTAGTGGTGGGGCACAACGTGTGCTTCGACCGGGCCCATATCAGGGAGCAGTACCTGATCCAGGTATGGTTCATGGGGCCAAATGCAGGCTCTGGCACCGGATGGGCTAAGAGCCCTGCTCTCAGTGGCTAGGGAAGGCATTGCTTTTCCTGGCCAGTGCCTCCATCGCCTTTGTAGAAGCTACAGGGCCTCCTGTTGACCAGCCCTGCCCGTGATCCCTGTACCCAGCTGTTCTGTCCCTAGGGTCTGCCTGGCACAGGACCTGAGTTGTCACAGGGTACTAATGGCCCTTATCTCTGTGCGGCATTTTAGAGCTTAGCGTGGGTCTTTGGAGGCTGTGGGCCCCACGGCCTGGGCTGCCATCCTGCCTTGGCCACTGGTGAGCAGCTCGAGCCTCTTAACATCCCTTTTACAACTAAGGAAACTGAGCCTCAGTTTCCTTATTTGTAAAGAGAGGGAGATGGCGGAAGCTACCTCATAGGATTGTTGAGAGGGTTTGAACAGTGCACACATCAAACGCTCAGAACCATAGTTGTGGCAATTCTTAATTCTGTGAAAAGTGCCCTAGGAGAAAGGCAGGGCAGGTGAGAGTAGCCTTAGCCTCTAGCTGAGTGTGCTGAGGCTCAGACAGCCTTGTTGACTTGCCCAGGGCCACAGAGCTTCTGAGCGGCAGTGCTGGGGGCCGAGCCTGATAGCTTGGAAGGCCTCGTTTTGGCCACTCTGTTCCCAAGGTGCCCCTGGAGCTGTTGCTGGATGCTGGGAAGGCCTGTGTGTTGGGATTCAACCAGGCCTGAGCTTTCAAGCGTGGCTAGGGTTTGAGAAGGCAGGCCCCTCACAGGTGGAGGGACAAGCGTGAGCAAGCATGAAGACACTCTTTAGCGCTGGGAGGCTGTGGGCTGGGAGGGGAGGCTGAGGTGGGGCTGGTGGGCTAAAGTGCCGAAGCAGGGGTAGGCTGGCCCCTCAGCTGCAGCCTCCTCCTCAGGGCTCCCACATGCGCTTCCTGGACACCATGAGCATGCACATGGCCATCTCAGGCCTAAGCAGCTTCCAGCGCAGTCTGTGGATGGCAGCCAAGCAGGGCAAGCGCAAGGCCCGGCACCCCACACAGCGAGGCCAGAAATCCCAGAGCAAAGCCAACGGCCCAGCGGTGAGAGCACACTGTGGGGGGCCCCCATCCCCGGCCGGCCTGTCTGGCTTGAGACTGAGCTGATCTGCCGTGTCCCTTGCTCTGGCCTCCAGATCTCATCCTGGGACTGGCTGGACATCAGCAGTGTCAATAATCTGGCAGACGTGCACAGCCTCTACGTGGGGGGGCCTCGCTTAGAGAAGGAGCCCCGCGAGCTGTTTGTCAAGGGTAGCATGAAGGACATCCGTGAGAACTTCCAGGTATGGTGGTGGAGAGGGGCTCTGGGGACATGGGCTGTGGCAGACCCCTAGTGACCCTGGGGAGTGTAGCTGCCAGACCTGACCCTGAGAGGCCTGGTGGTGGTAGTGGGATGGCTGCCCACCCAGCGCCTTCCTGTCGCCTGTGCCAGGACCTGATGCAGTACTGTGCCCAGGACGTGTGGGCCACCTATGAGGTTTTCCAGCAGCAGCTACCGCTCTTCTTGGAGAGGTGAGGGAGAGCCCCTCTGGGAACCCATGGGGGTCAGTGGGTTCCTGGTACCCGGGCCCACCGTAACCAGGTGGTGCTGGGCCTTTCTCAGGCTGGGGGCCTTAGCCTTTCTGGGCTGAGAGCATGGAGCCACTCTGTCCAGTGGTGGCCACCTGGGCCTTGGACTCTGGGGTTTCTACAGAGGCCCTGGAGGGGGGCGCTGAGGCTGTGCTTGTTTCATGTGCGTGGCCCTGGTTTGCTAAGCACCGTCTCTGAACCCAGATCCTGAGCCAAGGACTTCACATCCATCTTGGTTATGTTTGCTAGTGAGTCAGTTTTATGATGTGGTCAGAGTCATAAGCGTCAGCCAGACCTGGTTCTAATCTTAATTATCCTATCCAACTCATTTGACCTTGGGCAAGTTACTTGGTTTCCCTGAGCCTCGATGTTCTTATCTGTGAAACATACACAAATATACTTGACTACAGTTGTGAGGTTCTTGTATGATCTTTTGTGTGTGGGGGGTTGTAGCACAGTGCTTGGCGCTTAGTCATTACTCAGCAAATGGCAGCCATTTTCATTTTTGTGATCTGTCATTCCCCCCATTACCCCTGAGGATGGGATGATATTATTCCCATTTTATAGATGAAGGAACTTAGGCTCAGAGAGATGAAGTGACTTAGCCAGGGTCTCATGGCTGGGAGACGGTAGAACTGGGGTTTCAACCCGTCTCTCTGACGTGGGTGGTTGGGTTGAGGATTGCCAGGCTGGCCCAGGGATTGGGCCAAAGCCTTGCCTCCTGTGGTCGTTTATGGCAGCCCTGGTGTTTGTCCTCAAGGTGTCCCCACCCGGTGACTCTGGCTGGCATGTTGGAGATGGGTGTCTCCTACCTGCCCGTCAACCAGAACTGGGAGCGTTACCTGGCGGAGGCACAGAGCACCTACGAGGAGCTCCAGTGGGAGATGAAGAAGTCACTGATGGACCTGGCCAACGATGCCTGCCAGCTGCTCTCAGGAGAGAGGTAGCCAGGCCCTGGGCGGCTGGATCCCCCTGCAGGGGATGGGCAGGTGGGAGGGCTGGCCTTCGGCTTGGCCTTAGCCCTGCCCTGGTGGACTGGCTGTGCAGGTACAAAGAAGATCCCTGGCTCTGGGACCTAGAGTGGGACCTGCAGGAATTTAAGCAGAAGAAGGCAAAGAAGGTGAAGACGAAGGAGCCGGCCGCAGCCAGCAAGTTGCCTGTCGAGGGGCCCAAGGCTCCTGGGGATCCCAAGGATCAGGAAGGTGGGGAACATGGGTGGGAGGTGGGGCAGGGATGGACCCTGGGAAGGTCCTGGGACCGGGGGGTCCCTTGGAAGGGGTTGCTCCGGCCTTCTGGACATGAGTAGGCTGGGCAGGCCTTTGTGAGAGACCCTCCTCTGGTCCTGATTGTCCTCCCCGACCCTGTGCAGACCCTGGCCCCCCCAGTGAGGAGGAGGAGTTTCAGCGAGATGTCATGGCCCGCGCCTGCTTGGAGCAGCTCAGGGGGACCACAGAGCTCCTGCCCAAGCGGCCCCAGCACCTTCCTGGGCACCCAGGGTAAGCCCTGTCTCCCTAACATGTCCAGCGGCCATCCTTACCCCTCCTTCCACCCTGGGACACCTCTGTTCTGGGCCCCAGCACAGGGGGTGATGTGCATATGGGCCCTTACTAACCTGCTGCCGTCTGTTCCTGCCGTCTTCCAGTCCTGCTCACTAGTTTGCTCTGACTCCTGGGTCACTGGACTTAAGCGGTACAAGTGCACTAAGCACCTGCTGTGTGCTGGGCCTCACAGTACCCTCTGAGAGTACAAATAGGAACATAACTCCTTCTTTCTAGTAGCTTCTCCCTGGGAGGAGCCAGTTGTGCAGACCAGCCAGCGCAGCTGGAGTTTATATCCATGATGAGACAGAAGAGTCATCAGTGTTGAGGCAGTGCCTGACTCTGCTTGGGGAAATCAAGGAAGGCTTCCTTGAGGAGGTGACCCTTCATTCACACCCCATAGAGTGGCAGAGATGAGAAAATAGGGGCAGCCAGGGTGAACAGCAGAGTGCCAACTTTACATTTGCCTGAGATGAGGCCGCCTTAAATTTTGTGCCCTGAGTGCCTCACTTGCCTCACCCTTGTGTTGGCTCCGGTGAACAGCACGTGAGGGATGGAGCTCTGAAGGCTCTGGTGTGCCTCTAGAGCAGTGGTGGGAGGGCAGATCTACTTGCTCCCTGCATGAAATGGAGCTGGGGAAGGAGTCCAGCCCTAGGTTATGCATGTGGGTCCTGACTTCTGAGTAGTACAGGGGGGCTGACATAGGATCTTTCCTTCTGGGATATTCGAATTATTCTAGGGGACTCCGTGGGGGTCCTGGCTGTATCCCAGAGGGAAGGGATGGTGACTGTAGGCCGAGGTCACCAGAAAGCCTTGGGGTCTTGGAGAGCGGGTGGGGCCCTTGCCGTCACACACTGTTCTCCCCCGACTACCATGACACTGCTCTCTTCTGGCGGGGCATAGGTGGTATCGGAAGCTCTGTCCCCGGCTAGATGACCCTGCGTGGACCCCAGGCCCCAGTCTCCTCAGTCTCCAGATGCGGGTCACACCTAAACTCATGGCGCTGACCTGGGACGGCTTCCCTCTGCACTACTCGGAGCGGCATGGCTGGGGATACCTGGTGCCCGGGCGGCGGGACAACCTGGCTAAGGTGCCACCAGGCAGCGGCCTAACGTCGGCTGGGGTGGCCTGCCCCTACACGTAAGGCTCTGGCTCAGGGAGGAAGGGGCTGGAGGCTAGGCACCCCTTCCCCTTGGCTAGAGAGACCAAACCCACCTCAGGCTAGTGGAAAGAGCTCGGGTCTGAGAGTCTGGGTTCTAGTTCTTTGTTTGGTGGCTGCCTTTTCTGTCTGGACCTCAGAGCCCTGTGGGGCTGAGGGTGTGGTGCTTGGAGCGGGTGGGACTGAGGCCCTGCTCCTGGGCCCGGCAGCCCAGCTGCCCTCACAGGAGTGTGCAGAGGGAGGGCTGTTGGAAGTGACGGGGGATGAGCTTTGTCCCCCTTTTTTGAGTGTAATTTATTGAGCACTGATTATATTCTGTGTTAATAAACGTTTTACAGTGCTTCCCTTGTTTGTTTCCCAGGCAGTCCCGTGGTTATCTTCATTTTAGAGTTGGCAAAACAAAGGCCTAGGGAAGTCAGTTTCTTGTCTGAGCTCACAAACCCTTGAGCTTTTGACAGGCAGGTGTTGGGGAGAAGCCATAGCACTTGAAGTGGCCCAGAATTGAGAGTCCTGGCTCTGCGGGGCAGCCTGAACCACCCGTGGGGCCTTAGGACAGAGGGGCAGGGATCAGTCTGCCCCTTTGCACCTGAAGGATGGATGAGCGGGCAGGAGCCAGCCTGGGGCAGGGCCCAGCCCTGACTTCCCACTGCTGGGCTCCCAGACCTTTTCCCGGGGAGGTGGCAGCTCTGGGGAGAAGCGCTTAGATTTGAGTCAGCCCAGGCCTCGAAACCCAGCCTGCCACCATTGTGCTGTCATTTTCAATTTGTCACTCCCTGTCTATGAACCAGGGGAAGTGCTGTCCACTTCCGCCCCAGAGCTGATTCTGAGGCTAAACGGAGGGAATCGCGGAAGGCCCCCAGCGAGCTGCCTGGCCCGGAGGGGGCACCCGGTAACCAGAGGCTGCTGCTGCTGTTCTCTGCGCAGAGCCATCGAGTCCCTGTACAGGAAGCACTGTCTTGAACAGGGGAAGCAGCAGCTGGAGCCGCAGGAGGCAGACCTGGCTGAGGAGTTCCTGCTCACCGACAGCAGCACCATGTGGCAGACGGTGAGGGCGGGCTCTGAGCCTGAGCTCTGGGGAGGGGGCTCTGTTCCCTCAAGGAAGGGGTGGCCTTTTGGGTGGGGGCGGGGTGCTGGATGCGCTCAGTTGTCCACCTCAGGCTGTCCTGGGCTGTCTGTGTGTCGCAGGGAGGGGTGGTGGATTTGGGGCAAGCCAGCCCTCTGCTTCACTTCCTTGGTACCTGGGCCCATCCAGGTGGAAGAAATGGGCTGCTTAGAAGTGGAGGCCGAGGCCAGGATGGAGAACTTGCGAGTGGCAGTTCCAGGTCAACCCCCAGCTCTGGTGAGCTGGGCACCTGCTCAGGGGTTGTCTGGGTGGGTGTTGGGTGGCAGGGCCCTCCTCTTGTGCCCAAGTAGCTCTTTCCCCCCAGAGAATTCCCAGGATCTTGGGGAGCTGGGAGATGGCTGCCCTGCCTTTGGGTGGCCCCATACTTGTTGGAGGCCAAGGAGGAAGCCTGAGACCTCATAGCCATCCTGTCATTTCCCAGCTTACCTGCTTGCCATTTCAGGCCCTTTTCCCACCCCCTACCCCATGGCCCTCGCTGAATGCAGGTGCTGGAGCAGGGCCTGATCTAGGTGTGTGGCCCCCACAGACTGCTGCTGGTGGCCCAAAAGCCAGCCAGCCAGCTTATCACCATGGCAACGGACCCTACAATGATGTGGATATCCCCGGCTGCTGGTTCTTCAAGCTGCCTCACAAGGTATGTGTCCTGGTGTCCTCGCTGTGCTCAGGGCGCACAGTAGGCCTCCGGAGTGACTCAAACAGGGAGACTCCCTTTTTGCAGGAATGCTGGTAGTAGTGGCGCAGAGTATGATCTCAGACAGATGTTGTTATCTCTCTGAGGCTTTGTCTTTCTTCTGAAAATTGGGTGGTGAGGGGCATGGTGGTGGAATTAAATGACACACAGGGCATGTCAGGTGTCTGTGCCACATCTGGTACATGATAGGATCTGTTGACTGATGGCTGTTACTGTGAGGGGAGCTAGGTGTGTGTGTGTGTGTGTGTGTGTGTGTGTGTGTGTGTGTGTGTGCGTGCGCGTGTGCGGAGCTAGGGGTGGGTGTGTGTGCGCGCGCGTGTGCGCGCGCGCCCCCCAGACCGCTCTGCTTGAGGTTGTGGGCTCAGTGATGGGCAGAGCCCAGGCACACAGGGCATCAGTTCCCCAGCTAGGGGTCTGCTATGTGCCTCCAGCCCCTGCTTCCTTTGCTCTCTTCAGGATGGTAACAGCTGCAATGTGGGCAGCCCCTTTGCCAAAGACTTCCTGCCCAAGATGGAGGACGGCACCCTGCAGGCTGGCCCAGGAGGTGCCAGTGGGCCCCGTGCCTTGGAAATCAACAAAATGATTTCTTTTTGGAGGAATGCCCATAAACGTATCAGGTGGGTCACTGTGGGAGGGCAGAGACATGCTGTCTGTCCGTGCCTCTGGCCGGGTTACTGCAGTCTTGGGATCCCTTCCCCTGCCTTCCACCCAGGGGCCCCTGACAGCCTGTGCTGCAGTGGAGGGACAGCCTGGTCTAGAGGCCTGGCTGCTTGTGGTCCTGGTGCCATGGGACCGTGGGCAAGGCTCGTTCCCTCTCCAGCTGCAGTTTCCCTGTTATGTAAAAAGAGGGGTACTGTAGGACCTTGGCGGCCCCTCCCAGCTCTGTGGCCCCTTCCATGGAGGGCTAGTAGCCTGTAAGCTCTGTTGGGGGCTGGGAGTGGGTCCTGTAGGCTGGGAATGGCAAATGGGTCGAAGGCTAGTTCTGAGGGGTTTGTGGCTGCCAGCGGCACACTCTTGTGAGAAGGGTGCTGTGATGGGTTGGTAAAGTCTGCCCTGAGCCTGGAAAAGGCAGTGGTGGCAGGGCTGGTGCTGGGTGCCTCATGGATACTCCAGGACGGGGGCCGAAGCTACCTCAGATGCCTGGCTAGTTCCCGGTGGCTTATGCTCCTAGACGGTAGATGCTAGGCCCACCCTGAGTCAAGTCAGTGGGAGAAGGGTTGAGGCTGGGCAAGGAGGGGGCACAGCAACCCCCAAAGCTGGGCAAATGAGGGCCGTGTTGTGATGGGGGATGGAGTGTGTGCTCCCTATGGCTGTGCTGAGCAACCCGTCTGTCCCCATAGCTCCCAGATGGTGGTGTGGCTGCCCAGGTCAGCTCTGCCCCGTGCTGTGACCAGGTATGTCCTGGCAAGTGGTTGTGGGAACGGGAAAACGGGGGCGGGTCCTAGGACCCAAGCAAGCTGCTGAGCCTCATGTCCTCCCCCCAGGCACCCACACTATGATGAGGAAGGCCGCTATGGGGCCATCCTGCCCCAGGTTGTGACCGCTGGCACCATCACTCGACGGGCTGTAGAGCCCACATGGCTCACTGCCAGCAACGCCCGGGTATGTGTCCTCTGCACCTCTGGTCCTGCCCTTTCTCTCCTGTGTGTCTAGAAGCTGGGGTTGCAGAGGGACTTTGCTGAGGAGCATGAAAAGGAACCTAAGATCTGGGTCAGGCAGGACTCAAGTTCAAATCTAGCTTCACAACTCATCCAGCTTTTCAGCAAATATGTTCTGGGCACCTGCTCCTGGCCAGACATTGACAAGGCATGCTAGGCACAGCTATTGTGGAGTCTAGATGGGGCTGGGTATAGAGCCAGGCACGGAGCAGGGATTCTTTACCTGGAACTGTGGAGTTTGGGGCACTGCTGGCTGGCATTCCTTAAAACCATCCCCTCAGGAAGGGCTCCAGCATTCTCAGTCTAGTCAGGCTCCAGGGATGGGTGGGAGGAGTGTACTGGGGTATCTAGGTCGGGGCTGACCTCACTCTTCCTGCAGCCTGACCGAGTAGGCAGTGAGTTGAAGGCCATGGTGCAGGCCCCACCCGGCTACATCCTCGTGGGTGCTGATGTGGACTCACAGGAGCTGTGGATTGCAGCTGTGCTTGGAGATGCCCACTTTGCCGGCATGCATGGTGAGCAGGGGCCGGAGCAAAGCGGTGGCAGCCTGATGCCTCGCCAGGAGGATTATTTCTGAAGCCTGTTTTCTCACTCCTGCCTCGCCCCCCAGGCTGCACAGCCTTTGGGTGGATGACACTGCAGGGCAGGAAGAGCAGGGGCACCGATCTACACAGTAAGACAGCTGCCACAGTGGGCATCAGCCGTGAGCACGCCAAGGTCTTCAACTATGGCCGCATCTACGGGGCCGGGCAGCCTTTCGCTGAGCGCCTGCTAATGCAGTTCAACCACCGGCTCACGCGGCAGGAGGCAGCTGAGAAGGCCCGACAGATGTATGCGGTCACCAAGGGCCTCCGCAGGTGAGGGTGCCTCTCCCGTCCACGTTACCCCAGGGCCTCAGGCTTGCTTTACTACCTTTACCGCCCCATTCTTTTCTACCTCTTCCCATTACGTGAGTCCTCACCTGGCCCCTCTTCCTCCAGACCGCTGTGACCTAGTTCTAGGGTGGTTTGTCCTTGGGTTGTGACATCTGCTTGCTTAATGCTCAGTTTTCCTCATAGAGTTAAAGCTGTGCTTTTGTTATGCTGTCAGAGCTCTGGTCATGCAGAGTGAACAGTAACGGGGGGTTGCAAACTCACCTGCCTACAGGGAGTGAGAGCAAGTGCAGCAGGCGGTTTAGTAGGACAGCTGACAGGAGGGCCTATGGAAAACCAGAGACTTTAAACTGATTTTGACAGAGGAGAAAGCCTTCCCAGGCTTCAGTTTGCTTCCGCCCATAGTACCTATTGTTTGCTCAGGGCCTCAGCAGCCTCCTAGGAGGGTTCCTGAATCGAGTGTGAGGGAGGAGAGGTGCCTTTACAACTTGTGTGGGTATAATACACGGTGTCCACGTTTAATTAGCTGACCTCCTCATGGAAAGACTAAAAGTTAAGTGATAACAGTTCAGTAGTAACTGCATAAAGGCAGAAAAGGGGAGCCGAGTATTGTCCAGGGAGGTGAGAGGAGGACATGGGGTTGGGGGTGGCATGCACCGTGGGCGGTGTGTGCTGGCGGAGGCAAGGCAGTGACGACAGAAGAGGTTGGGCCTTAGTTGTGGAAACATTTGCTGGCCTCACAGAGTCTGGACTGAGGGGTGGTGGGGAAACCCTGGTGCACCTTTGAACAGGTGAGTGGCGTGGCTCTGGAGCCATCTGGAGACGAGCCTGGTGATGTCTGAAGTTGCACTGAAGCTGGGAGTCTGGGGCAGTGGGGACTGAGAAGGGTCAGTCGGGCCTGGCTGTAGGTTCTGTCTTCTGTCCTCTCCCTTTCAGGGAGTAGCCTGTTCTATTCCCCCCTACGCGCACCCCCCCCCCCCCGCAATGTGGGGTGATAGCTCTTGCTGCCTTCTGGACTACTACATGCCACCTGCTGGTCATGGGGCAGTGCAGTGTCTAGGGCATTAGGACAATAATAACAGTAGTGGTTCTCCTGTTGGAGTATGTCCTTTATTGGGCTACCCTCATGTAGTCCCCAGAATCCTGGGTTCCTGTCTAGGCTCTACCTCTTCCTGGCTGTGTGATCCCACAGTCACTTAGTATCTCTGAGCCTTTTCCCCCTCTGAAGTGGAGCTTGTAGGGGAAAGGCACGACCCCAGGGTGGTTGTGGAAGTGGAGAGGGGATTGAACGCTCCTAGCCCAGGGTTTGGCATAGAAGAGGCGTTCCCGTGGGAATGACAGTTGTGACACTGCACCCGCCCCCCCCCCCCAAGGTATCGGCTGTCAGATGAGGGCGAGTGGCTGCTGAGGGAGTTGGACCTCCCTGTGGACAGGACCGAGGATGGCTGGGTTTCCCTGCAGGATCTACGCAAGATCCAGAGAGAAGCTTCTAGGAAGTGAGAACTGTCTGTGTGTTAAGGATGGAGGGCGGGTCTGGGCTGGCCTGGGGAAAGCTGGGATGCTTTATTTTTAGCTCTAAGATGCTAAAAGACAAAGCTTGCCCTCTCTTTGTTCCTTGCCCCCCAGATCACAATGGAAGAAGTGGGAGGTGGTTGCTGAACGAGCCTGGATGGGGGGCACAGAGTCAGAAATGTTCAATAAGCTGGAGAGCATTGCGATGTCTGACACACCACGTACCCCGGTGCTGGGCTGCCGCATCACCCGAGCCCTGGAGCCCTCTGCTGTCCAGGGGGAGGTATCCTACTACCCTTGGAACATGGGGAGAGGGTCGCAGGGAGGGCAGGGTTCCTGTACTACCTCCTACTCTAGTGAACTGGTATGTGGTTTAACCCTTCTCGCCTGTGCCTACCTTCCCTCCCCAGTTTATGACCAGCCGTGTGAATTGGGTGGTGCAGAGCTCCGCTGTGGACTACTTACACCTCATGCTTGTGGCCATGAAGTGGCTGTTTGAGGAGTTTGCCATTGATGGGCGCTTCTGCATCAGCATCCACGATGAGGTTCGCTACCTGGTGCGGGAGGAGGACCGCTACCGCGCTGCCCTTGCCCTGCAGATCACCAACCTCTTGACCAGGTAGGCAAGGCCCGTGGCCTCTCTGGCATGACTATATACCAGATATGTGGGGCTTGGACCAGGCTGAGCATGATCTGAATTTTCATCCCCCCCAGAAATAAATGTTCCCACTTTTCTCTCTGATTTTTAAAACTTGTAGCAGTCTTAAAAAAGACTGGCCTCAACCTTTAGAAAAAATTTTTTGGGGGATTGAAAGTGTCATATACCAAGACTAGATCACTGAGGTGGTGAGAAGGTAGAAGCCAGGGCAGTTGTTCCAAGAGTAGTTCTCAAATTGTGCTCCCCTCAGAACACACCTTTCTGTTTTGAAAATCAAAATGACAGAGGCTTTTCTCAACCCGTAGAAAACTGAGATATTTTCTTCCATTCGTAAATGTTAATTCTTAAGTGCCAGAAGTTTGTTATTCTGAATACTGACAGAAAACATTGTTAATGGGGAAACTCAAATGTGATTTTAAAAACATATTTTTTTATATATTGAGTTGTGTTTTTTTTTGTAGTAAAATTCCTAGTTTATATGGTTACATTAATGATGTTACAGTTTCATGTTGATCTGCCCCAGAACCAGTTTGGGAACCATGATCTATCCTGATTAATGGGTAAATAATGGATGTTTTACAATACTCAACACTGTCTCCGCTGCCCTCTTAATCATCTCCTGGGGGGGGGGGGGTTATGTTTAACAGAGCTAATGAAAATCCTCATATATTCAAATTCTGGCCCAATAATTGAAATTTTGACATCAATAAAGTGTACCAAACTGGAAAAAAAAAGGTGTGTTTTGAGTCCATAATTGCACGTGTCTCAGCGGGAGGTGTTCGGCTGCTGGATAGCGGGCAGTGCTGGCCCTTCAGCTTTCTTTGCTAAGTGAACAGAGCTGGCTGGGGGGAGGCTCTGCCTTACGGATACCAGGTCATCTCTCCTGGATTCACAGCAGGGACATGACTGTGAGAGGAGGTCGGGTCTCTTTCAGGTGCATGTTTGCCTACAAGCTGGGTCTGAATGACTTGCCCCAGTCAGTCGCCTTTTTCAGTACAGTCGATATCGACCAGTGCCTCAGGAAGGAAGTGACAATGGATTGTAAAACCCCTTCCAACCCAACTGGGATGGAAAGGAGATACGGGATTCCCGAGGGTGAGCACAAACACCTTTGTTCCTCGTTACTCACTCGTAGGACGTTAGGCATAGAAAGTGGTCTTGGACAACACGAAGCTTGGGGCACCAGAGGATAAGAAGTCTACTTCTTGTGCTGTGTTCTGGGCTGTTTCAGTTTATAATGTGCCCTGGCTCCAAAGTGAGCATGATGCTCAAATCACAAAGGCATGTGTTTCCAGAAAGCTGTTCACAGTAAATGAAGGAATGTTTGAAACTCTGGTTTCTTCCATCTGTTCCCTTCCCTCTTCAACCACAACGGAAATGTTTGAAGATTTACTGTATAAAGTCAAAGTACATTCTTAAGTGAAAAAACTGTGCTTTGAGTGCCAAACAAGTAAATCAAAAAGCTTATTTTCTATGTATCTAAGATAAACTTATTTTATACAAAAAAGAAAACAGATCCCCCCCAAATGTAACATTACCATTCCTGGCAATTACTCTGAACCCTTCCGTACTTTTTGACCTTAACATTAATTAAGTTCCTTTTCTCACTTCTGACCTGTGAGTTAACAATTCTTGAGGAAGCATCCTAACCAATTTGCACTATTTTTCAGGTGAAGCACTGGATATTTACCAGATAATTGAACTCACCAAAGGCTCCCTGGAAAAATGAAGCCAGCCTGGACCATAGCTCTGTCTGGAGGCTCTGTATTTGCTCCCGTGGAGCTTCATCGGGGCAGTGCAGGCTCCTAAACTCAGGCTTTCAGCTGTGCTTTTTTGCAAAAGGGCTTGCCTAAGGCCAGCCATTTTTCAGTAGCAGGACCTGCCAAGAATGACTGCCTCTAACTGATGGTGCAATTAGTTCAGAACCAAGATGCCAACACTGGTGCAGGCTGTAGGACAAGGGGGCATTGTTGCTTGCTGGGTGAAAAGAAAGCAGAAGCCCCAAAGTTCACATTAACTCAGGCGTTTCATTTATTTTTTCCTTTTCTTCTTGGCTGGTTCTTTGTTCTGTCCCTCATGCTCTGATGCAGTGCCCTAGGGGAGAGAAGTAACGCTCTAAATGTGATAAGCCTGCTCGGAGGCAGTGGAAATAAAAACAAAGATCCTTTATCTTCTCATCAAAGCCTGTGTTAGTCATGCTTTCTCCCCTTTCCCACTCCTGGGAGGTAATTATGTTGGAGAAGGGAAGAGTTCTACAGTAGAGTAAGGTGGTGCTAACTTCTTTTTTTTGGGCTTTTGTTATACCTGGGGACATGCGTGGGACAAGATGACAGAGAAGGGGCATCAAGATGCTACATAACTCCCCTGAACTCAAATGCCTAGTAGGCAAAGGGAGTGGATGGGGCCAGGTGCATTATGGCTTGGAGTGTGATAAACTGAAGAATGTAAGTTAAAAATTTTTGAGACGCTAGAAATCCAGGGTGTTTTATGTAAACTCCCAGTTTATGTTAGACAAACCTGAGGTGATAAGAAATTTTAGGCACTAGAGGTAAGGAAACATTGAGTTCTGCTTCAGAGATGCTATAGGGCTCACGGTGTGCTGCTGTATGTAACTGGTTTGTTCCTCTCCCTTTTAGTCTTATCAGAGGGCAAAAGGAGGATAAGAAACTGGCATGACAACCTGAGCTGATCACAGAGTGGCCCTCCTTCGAATGAGGGCATGATAAAAGAGGAAGTAAACTGCTTTCTGAGCCAGAATGCTTAGGCTCGTGATTTTCCAATGGTTCAAAAGATCACAGGGGAAGACCCACAGAAAGGGGTCTTGTTTTCATCACCCCCTTTCTGGAAATGTCTACCCAAAATGTATACAAGCCCGGGCAACTGGGTATGGTTCCAAGTTTACAACCCCTCTCTTGAGGAGCCTGTTTCATCTTTGTCTGACCACCTTTTGGCCCGTTCTCTGTGGTTGTTGCTCCTCCACTAACCCGTGGCTGCCCCCAGACAGGCTGCTAACCCCAGTTAGAAAGGGTGGCTAGGGCTTGCTGCACTTCAGTCAGAAGCAGGCACTGACCTCTTCATCTTCATCCTCATCCTCTTGAAGAACCATGTCCAGGATGTTCCCTTTGATCTTGAAGTCCCGTGAGGTGCTGAGCTTTATATGCTGCATCAGGTTCACCTGTGACAGGATTGTAAACATGGGCACATTTTCCTACTGATAGGTCCTGCCCAGGACAGCCTAAACTATCTCTGACAAACCCTTCAGTTCCTCTAGGAAGGCACACACCCATTTGAATCCATGAATGTTTGGATTCAGGCCATCAGAAACAGAAAAGAACTGCAGATTTTTCCCCCACTGCAGTTGTGTTGCTTCAGTTTGCCAGGTCCCTTCACAGGGTAAATGGAATTGGTAGAAAACAGTATGTTTACCTTGGACCTCTTAGAAAGGTGGATGAGAAATTTTTCATACTGTTCAATGGCAAAGATGAGATTAGGGATTGGCTTGGTTTCCCGAAGAGCTCTGGCCTACAGGGCAAAGAAGAGAAGACCTAAGTTTTGGGTTCAAGGTGTTTTTTTTTTTACATAAATTTATTTTTGGCTGCGTTGGGTCTTTGTTGCTGCGCACAGGCTTTGTCTAGTTGTGGCAAGCGGGGGCTTCTCATTGTGGAGGCTACCCATTGTAGAGCACGGGCTCTAGGCGTGCGGGCTTCAGGAGTTGTAGCATGCAGGCTTCAGTAGTTGTGGCTCACGGGCTCTAGAGCACAGGCTCAGTAGCTGTGGCACACGGGCTTAGTTGCTCCGTGGCATGCGGGATCTTCCCGGACCAGGGCTCAAACCCATGTCCACTGTGCTGGCAGGCGGATTCTTAACCACTGCGCCACCGGGGAAGTCCCTTCAAGGGTTCTTGAAGTCCTCTGAAGCTGTCTGTAGCAGAACTGCTCATGGCTTTGGAAGAAAGCTAGTCAGTCTTCCAATCAAATGCAGTTTTACTTATATACCAGTAATTAAGATTTTTTTAACAGTTCACTCTCAGCAAAGGACCTAAATGCTAATGGAGATTGCAATGAATCCTCCTATTTATAATTCCTAAATATCTGTTACCTAGAAACTGGCTGAGGGATGGACCATTTGTAGATTCTTGGTTGCCTGACTTGATATTCTTGTAGCAATGAGCCCACTCTACACTACCTCTATTTCCTCTCTCTGGTCTACATATGAGTTTTCATTGCTGGTATTAATACATCTCTTTCCCCTCAACTTGAATTGTAACTTGTAGATCCTTCCATATGTTTCTTAAGTATATAGACATGTTTCCATATATATTCTTTGAAACTACAAATGAGGACATTGTTTTCATCTTTTTTTTTTCTTTTTAACATTATCTTGGGAGAGAATCCTATATCTGAACATTTAGATTTGTATTTTTTTCATGTCTGCATAGTATTCTGCAGTATAAATGTACTATAAACCCATTTAGCCAGTCCTTTATTAGTGGGTATCTTAGTTTTCCCAGTATTTCACTTTTACTTTACAACACTGCTAGGACTATTCTGTACATAGGCCTTTACAATTTCTATATCCTAAAAATGCAACTGTTGTAGTAAAGAGTGTGTGTGTGTGAATGTATAGGTCTAAAATTGAGCAGTTATTGCCACATACTGTTTCTCACCTTTGCCAGCAGTGCACTAGAGAACCCACTTCCCTGTACCCTCTCCAACTGTTTCACATCCTTTAGGGAGCACCTTTTGCACTCATTAACTTTTCCTAAAACCAGTTCCTTCGCAATGGTTATCCTAAGCTATTTCTATTTTTAAAGAAAGAGCTCAAGATTTTCTGGTACTTCCTGAATAAAGTATATGTTTTTTGGTTCAGAGGGAAAAGATGTTCCATCTGAACATAAAGTCCATGAGCTGAGAAGGAGCCATACACAAACATTTCCCCCCCAGCTTTACTGAGATATAATTCACCCATTTATATTGTACAGTTCGGTGTGTTTTCGTGTATTCAGAGAGTTGTGTAACCATCACCATAATCAACTTTAGAACATTTTCACCCCCGCCCTGAAATCCTACACCCATTTTAGCAGTCACCTTCCCAGTTTCTCCAACACCCCCCTTCCCCCCACTCCCCAGTTCTAGGCAACCACTAATCTGTCTTTTTAGATTTGCCTTTTCTGGACATTTCATATAAATGGACTCATTATGTAGTTTTTTTCTGACTGGCTTCTTTCACTTAATATTTTCAAGGTTCATCAGTAACCACTTTTTTTTTTGGCCGCGCCGTGCGGCATGCGGGATCCCAGTTCCCTGACCAGGGATCAAACCCATGCGCCCTGCAGTGGAAGCTCAGATTCCCAACCACTGGACTGCTAGGGAAGTCCCCGCAACCACATCTTGATCACTGTCAGCAGCTTACCATGGCTGTGGGCCCAGCAGCGGTTTTCTCCTTTTTCTTTTCTCCTGTGTGTTTTAGGCTCTTACTCTTCTTGTTCTAAAGAAATAGAAACAAATTCTGTCATTCCTGAAGATTGTTCTGTAGAGCTGGCAGGCTAGTGGTAAATTTCTAGTATGATTACAGTGGAGTATGGGGGAACTCTTAGGGGGACCAAGTCTGGGTGAAGAGATTATCCTGCAGCAGATGCCGGAAGGTGGGAAGCATTCTGGGACGCTTTATAATCCTCATTTTTCTATTTTTTGTTGGGAGGTTTACCATCTTGCTCTTGGATGCATCTAGCACATGGAAGTGAGGGCAGGACCAACCATTACTATAGCAGGGCAGCCAAGGGACTAGTGAGGCACAAAAGGACTGTCACGGTTAAGTAGGAATAGGTGTTTCCCAACTGGGAAGTTAGCTAAATTTGGGTTGCATAAAGAAGAGGAAGCTGGAGAAGCTGTTCCCGGAGCGATGTATCTTACATGACAAGTGGTTACATGCTCCAGAAGGGTTTAAAGGTCATAGGAACACTTATTTCCCTATGTTGTACATAATTAGAGAATAAAGAGCTCCTGGAAAAAGGAAGAACCAATAAGAAAGGGAACCAAGAAGAACAGGACTCTGATAAAGCAGAAGAGAATTGAGACATGAGTCAGGAGAGACCACCCAAGTGTGAGGTACACAAACAGGAACCTTTTACCTGAAGGGGAGTTCTGTGCCCTCCAGGAATGGAACATTACCACGTTCCACATGACAAGGAAAAAAATTAAAAACAGAGACCTGCAAATGGAGACAAATTATACTACTGGAGCTATATGAAAGGCAGGAGGCTTGGTCCACACGGCATGTTCTGGAAAATAAGAAAATGCAGGGATCCCAGAGATGCTGGTATGAAGAAACTTGCTTTTGGCCCTGGAAGACAGGGTAGAGGGTGAAGACTTTTTAAGGGAGGGGCAGAGTATCAGCCACAGATAGAACTCATGTGGACCAAATGGGAAGTGAGCCATCTTCCTAAAAGTTGTACCCAACATGGCAGCTTGTTGGAACTCCCTAAATCAACCCCATCTACTGCCCATTTCTGCTGATTCAGGTAGGACTAAAATTGTAGCTGGAAGAGAAGCAGCTTTTTTTTTTTTTTTTAAAGATGTTGGGGGTAGGAGTTTATTAATTATTTTTGCTGTGTTGGGTCTTCATTTCTGTGCGAGGGCTATCTCTAGTTGTGGCAAGCGGGGGCCACTCTTCATCGCGGTGTGCGGGCCTCTCACTATCACGGCCTCTCCTGTTGCGGAGCACAGGCTCCGGACGCGCAGGCTCAGTAGTTGTGGCTCACGGGCCTAGTTGCTCCGTGGCATGTGGCATCTTCCCAGACCAGGGCTCGAACCTGTGTCCCTTGCATTAGCAGGCAGATTCTCAACCACTGTGCCACCAGAGAAGCCCAGAAGCATCTTTTAAAGGTATACAGTTCTGAGCAGGATGCTAAGGGTTTTGGAGCAATGGCTTTCATTGCTTTCTTCCCACTGAGATCCAAGGCTATGAGAAAAAGAAAGGGGCTATAAGAGAATAAACAGCTCTCTGAAAGATGTGGCAAATGCAATCCAGATTTCTAGATAGAAGTTGGAGTTAGTGGAACCATGTGGGCTCTTGCCCAAGGTCACTCATTAAGCACATCTCACAAAGAGAAAAATGTTTGCCTGTGGATCAGCTGACTCGTCAAGTAAGGCTTTAAGTCAAATATGAATCGAGAAGGGGGGAAATATCCAGGGAATACATAAACTGGTTTTTCTGTAATGTAGAAAAAAAGATAGTCTAGAAGGTGCCTGGTGATAAGCAGAAGAAGAGCTTGAGAATGGGGTCAAACACAAAACCCCAAAACCTCCCAACATTTTACATGTCAGTGAGTACCAAGTATGATTCTAGAGCAAGGGGTAACCAACTACAACCCAGAGGCCCACTGCTTGTTTTTTAAAATAAAGTTTTATTAAACACAGCCAAGCTCATTCATTTGTGTATTGACTATGGCTGCTTTTATGCTACAACAGCAGAGTTTAGTTGTGACAGTGACTGTATGGTCTGCAAAACCTAAAAGCATTTACCATCTGGCCTTTTGCAGAAAATGTTTGCTGACCCCTGTTGTAGAGTCAAAGTACTTGGGTTCAAGTCTCAGCTTGGCCTCTTAACTAGCTGTTCTTGGTCTTTTTTTTTTTTTTTTTTTTTTTTAAAAAATTAATTAACTTATTTATTCACCTATTTATTTATTTGGCTGCGTTGGGTCTTTGTTGCTGCACGTGGGCTTTCTCTAGTTGCGGAGAGTGGGGGCTACTCCTTGTTGCAGTACGCGGGCTTCTCATCGCGGTGGCTTCTCTTGTTGCGGAGCACAGGCTCTAGGCATGCGGCTTCAGTAGTTGTGGCACGCACGCTCAGTAGTTGTGGCTCGTGAGCTCTAGAGCGCAAGCTCAGTAGTTGTGGCACACAGGCTTAGTTGCTCCGCGGCATGTGGGATCTTCCCGGACCAGGGCTCGAACCCATGTCCCCTGCGTTGGCAGGCAGATTCTTAACCACTGCGCCACCAGGGAAGTCCTGTTCTTGGTGTTTTTAATACCTAATATTACTATTTGGCAAAACGTTCCATAGAGTTCAGCTTGGGAAATGATGCTGTAAGGCCTCGTTCATTTTTTTAGAACAGCTAACATTAGAGAACACTTGCCTGATGTTGTGTTAAGCACTTTCCATGCATCACCTCATTCATTCTCACTATGGTTGCTACTTTACTTACATTCCCAAAGGATGCCCAAAGGCATGGATTTGGAATCACCCAGAAATAAACCAAGTCACTGGGCCCAAGCATGTTTGTTTCTCCCCTGCTCCAAGTGTACACATATCAAATGCCTTCTCTCTCCAAATCAAACTTTTTTTTTTTTTATATAAAGACTTCCTTGCTGTAAAGACTTCAAACCTTGGCTTGTTCTCATATGGGCACCTTTGGCTTACTGTAAGTAGGGAAGAAACTTTATATACGCTTAGCTCAGTTGACCTAGTGGTCCCCTGGGAATATAAGGAGTCCTTTCCTACTTGAGGATGCATTTTGGTACAGACTGAATCACTTACCTGTATGTAAGAAATGAAAGAATAGCATAGCGGGGTCAGGTGCGAACCTGACAGCTTCACCTGCAGCAAAGGAGAAGGAAATCAATGTAACTGTGGGAATAAGATGCTTTCCCCGTTCCTAGGAAAGGCATTCTCAACTCACCAGCTTTTCCATATTTTTCGGAATTCCTCTGGAGTGCTGACACACCTGGAGATACTAACAAAAGATTCCAAGATTTAGCATGCCCTCCTATATAAATGTCCCATGAAACTACAGGTAGTGACTCAGTGAGCAAATGGAGTATGACTTATTGCTCTGACTGGAGAGGGAAAAGAAAATAAGCTACCTTATTCATGGAGAATCCTAGACTCAAGGCTTCCTTTTTCCCCTCCTCTAAGCTCCAAAGCTTCCCAGACAGCAGGTAATAAAGGGTTTCTGTTTCTGACTTCTTCTGTTTATTGCTTTAAAAATCCTTCAGGCTGGTAGTCCCTGCATCTAGAAAACCAATGACTTTGCTGTTTTTGCTTTAGAAAAAGCCAATAAAGATTAGAGGTTCTCAGTATTTCTACCACAGAAGCTTAGTAGCCATACCTTGTAGCCAGAGCTGCACCTTCTCAGAAATGGCCACACTGCTGTTTGGGTACATGGTATGAGGTGGTCTACTATCTTTCTTGGGTTGTCTGTGCCTTTCTAAGTATTTAATGTGGCTCGTTGCTAGAATCAGAACTAAATTACCTAGTTCTTATCACTCTCTGAATGTCTGCTGAGAATCAAAATATTGCAAGTACAAAAAGAGTTTCTTGTTAACAGATACTAAGAAGCATTAACTTAAACCCAGGGCAAGTTATGCCTTTTATTTTTTAAAAATAATTATTCCCTACCCTAGTACCTGACCTGTGAGGCATTTAACACCCACTTGTTAAAGGAACAAACACCTTGTCAGTGCCCAGACTGGTCTGCAATAGTCTAATTTTTTGTGCAATTGGAATCAGATTAAGTTCTATAGCTATAGTTTAGACTGAGTCTTAGAAGGTGTTTGAAGAGGCATTTACTCTCCATCAGGTGCTACATACTCATATCCTAAAGAAACAAGGGCCTCTAAAAACAGATCTAGAATTATGCCTCAACTGTTATTTCTGGGCCTGTGGAGACGGCTGTCACCTACTGATCAAACCATCACTTGCAAAGATGTAGGCAAGAGCTCTCTGCACAGGGGCATTCTGCAGCAGGGGGTAATGTCCTGGCTGGGTGGGACAGAATGATAGTAGTGACTGTCTCTCCAATACTCACATATCTGACAAGCGCTGTAAGAATGGTGTACATTTTGCAAAGGTCCTTTAATAAGGTGTCCACACAACTGCCTGATGGCAGGGCTGTCTGCACCAGCTCGTGGAAAAATGTAAGCAGAGTTCCCAATTGTATGATGATGGCTTTCTCAATGGGATGATTTGGTAGGGTTGCCTGAGAAGAGGCTTCTTCTGAAAGGAAGGGAAACTGGCATATTCAAACCCAACTGGCCTTATTTTCTAGTTCAAGTGAAAGAGATTTAGAAACCAACAAAACATCATTAACTAGGAAGTCTGTACGGAAAATGAGCATGTATTTAATTCATCATGCAGAATACATTAATAATCATGTTGTCATAAGGCACACTACCTTCTACTTCCTTCATTACTTTGGAAATCTAGCACAAACAAACAGAGCTCAGGGTATCTGCTTTTATGCAGTCCTCCAGTTCAGATTTTAGTTAACTTACCTGGTATAATTTCTTGGCTCACTTGTCCCTTAAGCTTGGTGATTAGCCAGTCCACTTCTTCTAGGACCTTCTCAGCCTGACTCAGAAGAAGTAACTGTGAAAGAAAAGAATGCTTGGCATGGCTCATTGCACATAGCTGCTGTTGTAATATGATAACCATGGCCACCTGCGGGTGGGTTACAGGCCTCAGGAGGTGAGCCACTATAATTCACTCTTCACAGGGAATAAAATGGAAGGTAAGACAAGGCTATTTCCAAAGGGTCGGGGATCAACACTTACACAGACAGTAGGGGCAGCTGTTCTCAAATTCACCACTGCAAAGTGGTTTGTTTTCTCCACTTCTACATCCTGGGGAGGGAAAGAGAGGTGAGATATGACAGTAAGGCTGTTCCCCTGGCCTCTATCCCCAACTCAGGGTGTTGTATTAAAGGCTCACTATGGTACCTGGTCTATGTCTCCAAGATGTCCATGGATATCCTGGGACAAGTCACGCAGCAGGGTCACAGGACTCTTACACAAAACATGGAGGCTGAAGAGCAAATTCATCAAGCCCTTGCAAAATGAGGCATCCTCTAGGAGTGGGAAGGAAAGAAATATATATAATATTATATTATATATATTATAATATAATATATTATATTATAATATATATTTATATA